GCAGGCTTGTGTGACAAGTTGAGACTACAGAATTGCTTTGTGGTATGAAAAATTGTGCTCCAAACAGGCACTTCATCATGTGACGGCAATCCCATTTTAGGGGAATAAAAAGCATTCTGTACACCAGCAAATCCCGCTTTCCATCCGATTGAGGATTCATTCATTTGTTAAGTATGCGATGATGGATTTCAGTCTTACAAAGAGCTAAAGAAAGATGCTAATTAATCTGCTGGATCCTTATTTCAGCCAAATAGTGTTGATACCGACGTGACGACAAAAGAGAGATAAGCACCCTTCGTTTCTGAGGTCTGTGGCGCTCTCAACGCACAGGCGCTACAACGAAAGCCAAGCAGATCCAAGACCATATTCTTCAAACTTCACAGCAGTTGTCCTTTGTTCATTGGCATGCTAAAATCTACAGACTCCTGAAACATGGAATAAACTAGAGTCAAGGGGTGCCGACTGTTGCTATTCCGAAAATGGGCTGACAAGCTGAGCAGTGCATTCGATTGCCACAGCAAATGCAACTTTGCTGTGTCGAAAATCCCACTACAGAACTGTGATATAGAAAGGCCTAGGTTTGCTAGAAATTCACTTTTGCTCTGTAATCGAATGGCACTTGTGGAAGTCTGGCTCAGTGGTTAACCTGTCGAGATTAGACGCTGCACTTTCATGGTTCGAGTCCCGCTGGCGGTGCTAATGAGACTCGTTCAGGCGAGGTCGAAACTGCCTTTTGGGAAGCAAGGTTGTATAAAAATGAATAGAATCCTGAGACCTACTCAACTGATTTTAGGGAACATTCAGCAATCAGTCCTTTAGCTCACTTTACTACTGGTTTTCGTCTGCACCATAGCCATATCTTATTGCATAATGCGCTAAACTTTCTTCGGCTCTAGGGGAGGACTTGTTCTGGTTGTTCTGGTGAAAGACGTGCACATGATTAAACTACAATCCAGGCCAACCTTTTGTTCTTCCTTGCGCCATGCTTCCCACAACTTTTGTATGCTTATCTTTATATTTGCATGTGTGTCGGTGTATGTCTACGTTGTACGGCTTGACTTGCGGAGGAGGCATGAGACCAAAAAAAACCTGTGAACAGTACGTCCCAGTAATTCGTTTTACGGTGAGAATCGTGTCGTTACTATTCTTCAAAGTAAGAAATGAAAGAGAGGAGGATGTGATGAGAACCGGTATGGCTTTTCAGAGCATGGTCACTTGTGGTTTTTCTTCTCGTTATGCGTTTACATCGGTGACAGCGAGACCGAGTTCAGTGAACTCTCATTCGTGTGTTTCACATCTGATTAACGGGTGTATTCTGGCTCTACAGCAGGTCCATCGTGCGACAGGAGGACAATGAACTGGATTCTGTCGGCCACGACTGCCACGCTTCGAGGCCGACGCGACATCTCAAATAGACATAATCTATTGGTAGTCATGTACACCTACGTATAAACGAAAAAAAAACAGTGTGATTGATTGT